TCTCTGTATCAAAAATAAATAAACATAGAAAAAAATTTTAAAAAAAGGGGGGGCTCCTGGGTGGCTCGGTCAGTTAAGCGTCCGACTTCGGCTCAGGTCATGATCTCACAGTCCGTGAGTTCGAGCCCCGCATCGGGCTCTGTGCTGATGGCTCAGAGCCTGGAGCCTGTTTCAGATTCTGTGTCTCCCTCTCTCTCTGCCCCTCCCCTGTTCATGCTCTGTCTCTCTCTGTCTCAAAAATAAATAAACGTTAAAAAAAATTAAAAATATATGCATCCTAACACTCAGTGGGGTGTTGTCTCCTGGTCTCTGTAAATGTTCAATCGTCTCTCTTCAGCTGTTGCTAGGTTGCCCTCTGACACCTTTCCTTCCGACACAACACATAGGACATTGGCCCAACTCGTTCTATTCCCTAAGTATCTTGAATTTCCCTTTGTGGTCTCTGTATGCTACATTCTGGAACATTTCTTCAATATTGTATTCCAGTTTTATAAATGGCTCTTCAGCTCTGCCTCGTCCCTAATGGAATGGATTTTTTGAATGTATTGATTTTATTGGATTTTCATCTCTGAAACTTCTTAATCGTTTCACGAATTGCCTATATTTCTGTAACATGAACCATATTCTTGCATCAAAAATTAAACATCTCCTTTAATTTTTTGAAAATATTTTTTTTTTTTTAATTTTTTTTTTCAACGTTTTTATTTATTTTTGGGACAGAGAGAGACAGAGCATGAACGGGGGAGGGGCAGAGAGAGAGGGAGACACAGAATCGGAAACAGGCTCCAGGCTCTGAGCCATCAGCCCAGAGCCTGACGCGGGGCTCGAACTCATGGACCGCGAGATCGTGACCTGGCTGAAGTCGGACGCTTAACCGACTGCGCCACCCAGGCGCCCCTTGAAAATATTTTTAATGTTCATTTATTTTTGAGAGAGAGAGACACAGAGTGCTAATGGGGGAAGGTCGGAGAGAGGGGGAGGCACGGAATCCGAAGCAGGCTCCAGGCTCTGAGCTGTCAGCACAGAGCCCAACGCAGGGCTCAAAGTCACAAACTGTGAGCTCATGACCTGAGCTAAAGTCGGACGCTTAACTGACTGAGCCACCCAGACACCCCGGGTAATAGATGAATATTTAGATAAAGGTTACCACGTCCTCCGACATCAGAGCTCTAACCCAAATAAATAAACATCTTCATGCAGGGCCCCAGAATGGGAAAGAGTACTCTGCTCCAGACACAAGGGGCACTGAGAGACAGGAGGGACTCATGGGCGTGTTCCCAGGAAGTGGAGGTGGATGTTGACACAGGAAAATAGAGAAGTCCATGAAGGCTGTGACAGAAAGAAAGCCCACACTCTGGGACCAGGAGAGGGTTTACGTTTCCTTCTCTATTTCGCTATATTTCTCCTCTGTGTGCATCACCACGTGACCTTGACCTGAGCCAGGCAGAAATGTCACAGCTGTGTCTGCACTGACATGAGGCCGCAGAGGAGCCAGAACCCACACCCCCTGCAGCATCTCCGGGGCCTGGGGACCCCGTGGGAGGTGAGGACCCTCAGGGATGTGCTGAGAATGAAGGAGAACTTGTAGGGGAGGCTCTGGGAGGGAAGGACGTGCCCTGGTCTCCTCACCTGGATGGGTCATCTCAGGAAGCCTTGGGTCCACTTGCTGCACCATCATGGACACCAGAGTTGGGCCCCTGGAAACAGGCTGTTCCCCTTCCTGTGGGGCTGCTGACGTGACAACCCCATCACCAGGCAGACCAGCCCCCAAGTGGCCACACCCTGTGCTTCTGTCTGTCCTCTAAGCACCGAGGTCCCTCCCTCTGCACAGCCAGTGCCAGAGGCAGAGACGCCATGACCCCCAACCTCACAGCCCTGCTTCTCCTCAGTGAGATCTCAGGAGGGGAGGGGACACCCTAATCTGGGAGGGACCCGCGTCACAGCCAGGCCCTGGGGTTTCAGAGATCCCAGGCACAGGAAGCTCACAGGGAGGAGCGGTTCTGCTCAGGATTTGGGGCCATCCTCTCATGGGGACTCTCTTCCAGGTCTGAGTGTGGGCCCCAGGACCCGAGCGCAGGCAGGTGAGTGTGTCCCCAGGTGTTCCATCCCACCTCCTCACAGAGGACAGGGGTCACCCACCAGTCAGCTGGGAATGGAGAACAGCAGTTCTGGGCAGATGGAGAGGGGACGTCTGGGGGTTTGGGGTTGAGCTGGGAACTGGGGGTGGGGAAGGTCTTGTGACCGAGCCTCTGTTTCCTTCCAGGGACCCTCCCCAAACCCTCCATCTGGGCTGA